AATAATCCGTCTGCATGTACTTGCGGCTTTGTAAATAAAGGTGCGGCAAAATTGCTAACTCTTTTATGTACTTTTTTAACAAACAAAGTTTAAGACAAATGTACATTTTATTTTTTATCTCAAAATATACGAAAATCTAATGTGCGTGGGTTACTCACAGTATAGTTCCCATCATTTTCTATGTAGAAAAAAATAATCCGTCTGCATGTACTTGCGGCTTTGAAAAAATAAAGGTGCGGCAAAATTGTACATAAAAACTCTTTTATGTACTTTTTTAACAAAATACATGAGCTTCGTGTAATCTGTGTGTAATATGTCATCCATTACAAACAGTGCATAAAGTCCAACAACCCAGTATAAATTAATCTAAAGGTAATTAAAAATAACGGAAATAAAAAGTATACATTTTAGGCTAAATAATTATTTAATCATGATACAATTTTAGGAATACAGAGCTGATTTTTTTCACATGATACATAATAACATTCCTGATAACTTTTATTGTTATGTAATTTCTTGGAAAGCTGATTGTTTCAGAAAAAAAATTTTAGTTTTTTTTTGTTTGGAGAAATAAACATTTTATTTTTTTATATCAAATTGTAGAAAAATGTAATGTGTGCTTTATTTACAGTATAAGTCCAATAATTCTCTATCAAGAAAAAAACAATCCATCAGCAGGTACTTGCGGCTTTACGAGTAAAAAGATGTCAAAATGTTAGATTTGTTATTTATTAAAAAATAAAACACAATATACTAGTTTCTACTTAACTTTTGTGTTATTGTTATAACGCTCTGTGTAATTTAGCACTAAAATTAAATTTTCTTTAGTCGAAGCTCATGTATTTTGTTAAAAAAGTACATAAAAGAGTTAGCAATTTTGCCGCACCTCTACTTACAAAGCTGCAAGTACATGCAGACGGATTATTTTTTTCTACATAAAAAATGATTGGAACTATACTGTAAGTAACCCACGCACACTACATTTTCGTATATTTTGAGATAAAGAACAAAATGTATATTTCTCCACAAAAAAAAATTATATTTTTTTTCTCTGAAACTATCAACTTTTTCAAGAAATCATACAAGAATAAAAGTTGTTAGGAGTGTTATTGTCTATCACATAAAAAAATTAGCTCGATACTCCACAAGTTATTCCTATGTCCAAGAATTATCAATTTGGGCCCACTGTGCGCCACCGCAAACGGATGACAATTTAGACTTCCTTTAGGTTATACTATATTGCTCAGATTTTTATAGATACTTCCAAGTATTCTTTTATTTTGTTTAGGATTTGCGCCATCTAACTATATTCGCAAGCGTTACGTTATTAATTAGTTAACAACGAACAATGCCATCTATTGATATGCATAAATATCGAAGTTCAGAGAATAATTTTAGTTTATTACTAAATATTTGAAAAACATTACAAGAAAAATAGAATATCTACTATATTTCCTATAAAAGAGGAGTTAATCGATATCCATGGCCATTTACGTAAATATAAACTAATTCCAGGCTATCGATCAGCGCCATCTAGAAATAAGACGGAATTTTGACCTTTTTCAGAGCTACGATTTTTAATATGGAGATTAGCAGTCCTCTTGGGTTATTGGTCCATGGTATTATGTTTGCATTAAATGTTATTAAAAAGACATATGAATCCGCCAACCGTGTTTTGGGCCAGATTATAGTCCGTCATTGGGCCACACGGAGACTTGTACCCGTTTCTTGATCATTACGATATAATTTACTGTCCTGGATGAAAATGATACTTAGCAATAAAGATGTTTGTTGCGTTTTCTTTTCTGTATTTCTTATAGTGTTTTTAAATTAAATTATTTCACTTATCAGTGCTTCTACCACAAGATTATAGTGGCGGCTGTGATGATTGCGCCCGCGTAAAGTATACAGTTTTGTATAGCAAATTGTTACACGCCATCGTAGTAACATTTACAAATATCTTAAGCGATCGCCATTGACAACGCCCATAGTAGTCTGTATTTTTTTAAACGGAGTAAAATGACATTTGCAGGGTTGTCACTTTTCGTAAAATTTGAAATAGTCATGTAGTTGTTATCGATAGATTGTTAAAGAAGGTAAAATCTTCCAAAAAGTCTGAATTGTGAATGTTACGTTCTAATGACTAATAATTGCGTTATTGCTTTCTTCATTCTTATTTTTACAGTTGGCCTACTAATATCTACATTTTAACTATATATATATAATATATTTTTTATATATACATTTTAACAAGAACAGCATAAGCGTATATCAACATTAGGTCGATAGTCGATAGAAAATTTATCGACTGCAAGCACTAGTTGCTTGTAAGTGGGCAACACTTGCGCAATGAACTGTCATTTCACTTCGTCTTCAAAAAAGACAAGACTATAGGTGCCTAGATCTCCGAAGCATATTATGTTCGCTTTAATTTACAACACACACATGATACAATAAACTTGCGAAAGAAATAAAAAACACGTGACACTCAACGAAACCGAAATCTGATTCACATACAAGTATAGTCTCAGCCTTAAGAAATAGAACACCGCATAACGTCCGTATATTATTGCAGTCAATGAATGAATAGAACGCCAGCGTTAAAATAGCAGCAACGTATTCATCTTGGGAGATCACATAATTACGTCCTTGACAGACGCAGAGTGGATTGTTTAAGTTTATGGTTCAAATTGTATTTTATTTGAAGTTGTCTTTACCATTAGTGTATGTCATATGTACATTTGTATTTTTTGTTACTTTGTCACAAGTTATTAGGGATATAAGGAATTGAAATAAAGGACTGTGAAACATAAAATTGTGTTTATTTTCGTAAAAGAATATTGTTTTTAAAAATTAACAAATTATACAATTTATAAAAAATCGCGAAAATAGGTATAAGTGTACATATAATAACGTGATACGTTAAGAATGTGAACTAGGTAATTTTGTTGATTTTGTGCTTCTATTTGAGTATTGATATTGAGTATTTTTGTCACGTTCTCTGACATCACGTGTAATTGAGATTTTTATTTCGATGCCTCCAAATTGTCTGCTATTTCGTCTTCAACCTGAGAAAAAAAAACAATTTGATTAAACTAAGCGCGCACAACGGGAAAACCCTGTAAAAATTCGGTCAATATGCATTTTTTAAATTGTCGTTCACACGTATTTGACCATACTTGATTGTGAACCGCAGTATGCAATTCGCTCGTCGATTAGGTTGCACGGGAGTAGGTTTTTAATTAATGCAACCTGGCTCCTGCTTGAAACTCAACTTTGAAGATGTACCTGTAGAACTTCAACAATATTTTCGCGGACACTTGGGTAAATGTTACGGACTATGTCAGAGGCTTGCTTGTTTCACGCAATAAATCTGAAGCTCGTCTCTTTTTGGGAGCAGCATCTGCCGATCTCTTTTTTTCAGCTATGATTTCTTCTGCAATTCCGTACACTTCTGTGGGAACAACCTGTGGAACCAGGAAAGGAAGGATCGTAGGCGGATTGGTCGGTTAGCATGTAGGGGAAATGTATGATGGGTAATTTTCAGATTAGCTGTTTCTACCTAATTTCGGTGGCAACTTTTATTATTTAAGTATTCGAGTATATTATATAAACTTACTATAATATAAACTTTATTTTTAACATTTTTTGTTCATATACTTCCCAACTTTCGAGTCTCATATACATCAACTACCCTTTTCATATAGTGTTGTGTCAGGATAGAGCAAAGTGACGTTCCGTGGTTTCTGCCCACCCCTGTGGGACTAGGGCGTGAGCTTATGTATACCCATTGTATACCTATGTACGTATAGGCAATTACTTGTGCAAAGATTAACTACAAATAAATATAGGATTCTAAATTAGTTGTGATGTTTTTCTTCACGGAAAATAATAAAATAAAATAAAAAACTAGAAATCGAAGTCTCCCAATAGCCTAACAAAATTTTTTGGAATCGTAATTTCTATAATACGCTAGCATACTATGCTTTGCCCTTCCCTATTTCATTCATTCAGTTTGACATTTGAATATTTGACTCACTCATACTCGTTCGCTCTTGATTTTTTTCACTATTCATTCTTTCAATTCATGTGGACGCGTTGCGCGTAGCCAGATATTTTCTAAAATAAAATTTGAGTTCTCGCTAAACAAACATCATGAAGGCAAATAGAGGAAATCGACCATCAGGTTTTAACAACAATAGAGGACCTGGGGGGCCTAACAGAGGTTCCGGCACCGGGTCTAACGGTCGGTCTGGACCTGGCGGCCCTTTGGTGACCGAGCACCTTCAACTGCAGGTAAGTACAACAGATGCGTATTAAGTATTAATTCGATTGTTAGATTAGAAATGTATTTTGAAACTTTTACGACGTGATTACAAAGCAATTAACGTATATGCTTAAAAGTGAAGTCTTTAATTTCCATAATCACCACGATTTTCAGACGGGTTGGCGATCATTGTACTCTTTTATACGCATGAAAATTCGTCATCGGTTTTATGTACAAAGAAATACATAGTACAGAATTATGTTTTCTATACGAGAAACCTTGTTACATGTGTCATGTAATGATTAGGTCATGGTAGGTTTTCACAGAATTACTTGTATTTTCTTATGGTCTTATGGATAATGTTTGAATGCATAATTAAATACTTTTCGAGTTCTTTGGTTTTCTCGATTATTTCAAATAGGAAGGAAATGAAACAATTTTTCGGACCTACAGGTCACATGTGACCACGGGCCCGAAACGTTGGTTTGTCTGAGAAAACAAATTTACGACGTTTAGATCCGAAAAAAATAGTTTACCATGTTCTTGTCTAGAATATTCCCGATTTGGTTATGACTATCACTTGCATTACTTTTATCTAGAAATGGCAACTTCACATGACAGTGTATGGTTTTTTATTCTTGGTAAGCTCTAATGAATTCTGTGCTATATGGCAAAATAGTCACAGGTGGAAAGTTATAAATTTAGATCCTGTACATATATGAGGCATGTTTTGTTAAATAAGTACTGGTCTGAACTAAGAAAAACAAGTAAATTTTATAACAATTTCATTATTACATGCAACCTATGCTTTATTTTTCTTTTACACATAATTGTCATTCATGTTAACTAATAATTGTTGTAACTAATAAATGTTAATTCAGCTTGAGAACTAAGTCACCATATGAGGTTGTTGCCTACTTTCTGAGAAGCTTCTTTTAATACAAGAACACTTGGTAGGCACTGGGCGCTAGACCAGACCTATATCCATTTGTACCCAGACAAATGATGCGATGAGATCTCGATCATTCTAGCAGCTCTGATATCTGACTGTCATGTTTTGAACACACACTGGCTGACTAGGAATTTCAACTGCATTCACCCCTTTAGTACTAAGAAGGAATTACAGAATGTATTTCACAAACATAATTACGGTCAAACATCACCATAATGCAATGTACATAGTGTACATGGGTAGAACACCAACTGCAGCAATGCAGCGGTTGAATTTTAAAACACTACTTGCATTAAAAACGCACCTCATAGACACTGACCAGAGAGATTCGATTGTAATCCCGTTTTTTCAAAAGAGTAGACTTATATATAATAGGCAGAACTGATTCAAAATAGATTTGCATGTATTTAGAGCTCCTTTGAGCTCTTGCTCTGAGTTTTTTTAACAAATCATTATTTACAATTCATTTTAGGATTTGGATTTGGAGCTGGCCCTTCTCCGACGCAAACGTGAGATAATTGAGCAACAACAAACAATGCTTATTAAGGACAAGCAGTACAATCGCCCGGTAAGTTCTACATTATTAATTATTATAAAAACTTTATACACTTACAGATGAAACGGCTTTGTTAAATTATATACATATCATCACCTTATTTTCTCAAACTCGTATCTTAAAGCACAAAGTTACTGAAATGCAAAAATGTATTGTATATACATACAAATTTTGCAGGCTGATTTCACGTCACATTTCCGTCATATTCACACACTGGCTTTTACCTATTCTTAAACTAACGCATCCACATTCACAGGCCGGATAGGAAATTTAAAATAAATAGAAAGTTTTGCCATCTCCTGAATAATCACTCTTTACAAGATATGAGTTTGAGAAAGTAAGGCGTTGATATAAGTTTTGTACATTTTGTAATTAGGTTAAGTTTTTTACTCTCAAAATATAGATTTTTCTTGATTATTATTGTTATTATTTCCTTTGTTTTTCATGACGCGATTGATGTCAATCTGACTCAATACTATGCATGCATGTTCTTTTGGATCTAGCAGATTGTTTTGGGTCCATAAATTTCATTTTTATAGACCCTGAAACAGTATCTGTTCTTCAGCCTGTTGTGTGTTATTCTAAGAACTGAAAGTATGTATGAGGAACTAAGTACTTTTGTGCAAGTTTCACAAGCTGTCTCCAATTTTTGTTTACAACCACAAATAGAATGTAATGTTTTGTGAAAACAAGGCAGATTTTGTCTTAGCTTGTACATATTTATTACAATAGTTCCTTATTACATAGAATTAAGAAACTGCTTCATGTTTTCCTTGTTCATCATGCATTTTATCTGTATGGTGAACTTATCGGATTGCTTTTTGTGAGCAACATAATATAGATTCTTCAATATGTTAGCAGCTGCCCGTTCATCCTGTCTGTTTGAAATAAACTACACTTACAGAAGTGCAAGGTTAATTATATTGTTTAATTACCACTTTTTGTATGATTACTTTTCAGAACGAATATGACCCTCCCTCGTTGTTTAGTCAACAACAGTACAATCCACCTGCGCAATTCGGGCAGGTTAGCAATTTCTCCCGGTTTTACGACTCTGCCTACCCGGGCGACTCAAGTGGCCCACACAATGAGCCCTACAGGCAGGGGCTCAAGCGGTCGGCTCCCATCGACCCTTGGCAGAGCGGAGCTCCCAAACGCTTAGGCGCCAAGGACAGGCTTGGCCCAGCTCCCCGGTCAATGCACAGTGTACCCGAGCCATTAATGCGCGAGACCTACAGGCCTCCGAAGCTAGCGTCAAACAGCTCTACAGCCGGAACGCGCCGGCTTCCATCTCTCATGGGCCGTATAGGTTTCATCCCCAACAAAATAGTGAAACCCAAATTGGCTGGAGTGAACAAACCAGGCAACAGGACTGGAAATAGGCCCGGCCAAGGCTCTGGTCCAAATAAACTAAATTCATATCCCCAGTCGGTTCGCCAGAATTTAGTTGCTAAAACTTCTGATTTAACTCAAAAATCTTATAGAGAAGAAAAGTTGGAGGCTGACAAGCCAGTCTCCCGGTCGCTGTTGGGACGACTGGAGTTAGCACTAGGCACAGTGTTCAAAGATATGAAGCAGAAATACGGTGAGGTGGAACCTAACGCTGGGATTTTCCGTAACACTTTTCAACAACGCGTGCTTAAGCAGGCGATCCGTGACCGTATTCGGAACGTCATGCTTGGCAAGAATGTCGGCAATGCCGTTGAAATAACTAAGATCTATCGCGACAAATACCCCACTCAGCACGACGAAGAATTGCTCCAGCTTGCTTTGAAAGCCGGACCACAACGGCGTATACTTCCGTTTAAAGCGATCATCACAGGTAGCGACATTTTACATTAATTGCGTCTTCCTTCTCAGTCAAAAGTATTGCTTTAAGACTTTTGATTGAGAATATTTTGTATATTTTTAATATTCCTAACTGGATGTTTTTTCGGACACTCAATGTTTACGAAGGGATTGTTACTGGACACTGTTTGTTTGGATGATGACCAACAAGCAGGCTTTTGTTTAAAAGTAACGTGTTTCTTGCACCCTTTAAAAACCTTGACGAAAGACGTTCAATGCTGGGCGCCATAAGCTCTTATGGCTACATTATTGATATATACGTATATTGTCATAATCGGCAATTAATGCACACATTTCTTGTGAGCAACTCTAAAAAAACAACATGTCTAATACGCACAACATGTAATCATTTTATGTACTTGCTACATTAGTTAAGAAAAGAATCCTTCTGCATTTATTAGACTCTGTAATGTAGACAGCAGCCTATCTAATTGTAATAATAATTGTACTTGAAACACATCTAAAGTATTTTTAATATAAACTTGTATTTGTTTTGAAAATATTAACGCAGTGTACATCGTCTGTATTCGATCTTAGTGTTATGGACAGTATTCTAAAACGTGTATAATAATTTTCCAGAAGACCCTGTGAAATTTTTCAAGGCCAACTTTGACAAGCTATTGAGCAAGCAACTTGACAAAATATTTGCTGAGGTAAGTTATAGTTCTCTTCGCACCCAGCTACACGACGCCAAAGTTTTCGCGCGGCAACAGCCCAGTTACGACGCTTTCACGTACCATAAATGGCGAATTTGAATTCTATTTACTGGGCAACATTTAAATTCCTCTGAATAATATAAAACCGCGCCGTCGCCGCATAGACCCAAGGACCCCAGGCTCGCCCGCGCGTCCGGGATGCTCATTTAAGTTAAAACGTAACAGCTAAATAAATAGAGCGCACTTTGCTTTGACCAGTTAGATGCACGCAGTCGCTACGCGGCGTGAGCGCGATTACATTTTTGTCGAATAAATGAGCCCTTAGATTTGAACCCTTCTATTGACTTCACGATTATTGATAGGAAAAGACAAAAATAGCACCATCTTTTTGAGGTACAGGTATATAACATGTTCGCTTTTAATCAAATATTCTTGACACAATATAATTTTAGTATTGCCGACAAACCCACTTGGTTGTTGTACTGAAAATGCCCTTTTTTCACATTGTGTGTTTTTGGTGTACATAATTTAGTACTAAACAGATAAGAAGCATGGGTATGGTATGTTGTCACAGGCTGATCTGCAATTCAACAATGATGCGTTGTGTTGTGAATGAATATTATTCATTTTAAGGTAACGAAGATATGTGAATCTAATCCAGAGTATAAACAGCCAATGCATGAGACAGTGGAGGCAGCGCTCATTGAATTTGGTATCACTGATGATCCAAATAAGATTGGAAAGCCAGTTGATAACGTTGTTGGCGAAGAATCTGCAGTTGTTAAGGAAGATGAGGAAAAAGGGGAAAAAGTGGAAAAGGAGGAAAAAGTGGAAAATGAGGAAAAAGTGGAAAAGGAGGAAAAAGCGGAAAATGAGGAAAAAGGGGGAACAGGGGAAATAGAGGAAAAAAGTAAGTGTGCAGATAATGGTTAGCATGTTAGATTTTTCTACATCTATCATGTTGCGAAATTTTAAAGAACTAATTATTTTTCTCAAACACGCTCAGAAGTGTTCGTCTTTCTTTTAAATAAGATTAGGCACAAAGCCTGATTTTGTCACACCACATTAATTAAGACGAATTACTTCCCGATCTAATTTGGGAAATTCTTATGAAAATCTATATTTTACCACTAAGTGATTACCTTTAAATGTTTGACCATTGCACACACCATCATAGTAGCTAAAGAAAAATCCCATACAGACCAGCTGTCCGCTCGTATTTTCAGCGCGACACGTGTTCATTTTTTATTGTTGTAAAAAGGTCTATGGTTAGAATAAAATGTTTTAAATTCTTACAAATGCACAATGTACTCGTATTCCCTTTTATTGGTGGACA